ATTATCTGGTTTCTGTTTACATGCTTCGAATGATTTTGTTGATTCAGTAATTTATTGATAAACAGATTAAGATGAAGGGTCACTAAAGTCCCGATTTATTATGCATGGTAATCATGGTATTCAGTTTTGCACGATATGACATGAGTGACACAGAAACATTTGAAAATAGTTTTAAGAAGTAATTACGATGGTTATTATGATTGCGATTTCTGATACAGTTGTTGTCATTCTACGGCTTACACCGCGAGATAATGTACTGATTCATCTATCCAGTCAGTTGTCTTGTAGATATGAAACGATATTTCCTCGAATATATCACGAATCGATTAGTGACGTATGAAAAATTATTTAACACTTGTCGCTTTTATCGAGTTTGGTTGCACTAATTTTCCATGGAAAGTTGACACCAACCGATAAAGGAAATGGAGGTAAATGAACAATGGAATGCTCTACCGTTCTATTATGTGACTTCACAGAGGTGGATGCACTCAACCACACTGGAGGTGAAAACCTGTAGCTACAATTCTGGGTTTGTTTGCTATGTTTTCAATGCATTGAGTTTGGTTCGAGTAAGTCACATTTTCTACTGCATTCAGGTTGTGATATAACTCAAGTAGAGTCACTTGTTCCATTTAGTGAGTGGTGGTGAGTATCGTTTGTTGATTCGATTGAAATGAAGATGGAACTGTTGGTCATTATCGCCTAGTTTGAAACTCTCCATTACTCTACATTTATCAGACCACGGTGTATTCAGTTGTAGACTTGAATTTATCTTGAACCATTGACGAGACTTCATTTTTATTGACATATCGCAAGCGCTATTCAATAAAATACCTAATGTGTTCACAAGTGTAGTAATATCCTAGTGAAATACGTTGTGGGAATGCTCATAATATTGTGTATGGATAGCTTGCTAACCCATATGATCAGTAATATATTACGTTACCATTCCTGAATGGCCATACATTTTATCTTTAGAACACCATAGAAATGTTATTGTAATGATACTCTAACAAAAGACAAGAAACATAATAGCTGAGAAAATAAATGTCAATCGACTAACTTGAAATGCATCTGTCACTCTACTTGTTAACGTCCTTTCGAATTCCATTGGTATACTACGAGTATCTTCATTTGGATCATCATTGTTTACTTCATCAAAAGGCTCTTCGTCCTGTACAACAGTTGGTTTGCTTTTGTTTTTATGCGTCTCGGGTAAACAGCATATTAAAAGACAAAACGATTTCTTGAATTCGATGCGGTCGTATGTCTACACTGATATATTTATGTATAAATATAAAACGTACTCATTAATTATTGACATGCTTGATAATATTACAAATTCAAGAATTTCTAAAAGCAATTGTAAATACATTACTGATCAGTTAATAAATAATATGGATAAGGTGATAAATCCTAAAAGACAGGTTCTAATAAACAAATAAAGTGAAATATATGGTTGTGGGGTTGATGTTTAATGAGAAGTCTAACATAAATTTCAGTTACATAGTAAGGAATGTAAATAAGTACTTGTACGACAGGTAATGGAATCGGTGAAATCCCTTAATGAAGTTCGATATTAATAATTATATTTGAAATAATAGAATTAAATTATAATAAGGGAACATGTATTAAAATTATGTATAAACTCTCTTGTGAATGGAAACTTTCTGAAATTTTTTCAAGGTAAACTTTCTTAATTTTGAGAAAGTATTTGACAGCGTGGATGGGAGAATATTATGGAACACAAAGTAAAAAGCAACACGGAGAACACCAGCCCAATCGCATTTGATAGAGGAACTCTGGAACCGGTGGAAAATTTCATGTACCTGGGCAGCATCATCGATGAACGCGCAGGATATGATGCACACGTAACAGCGAGGATTGGCCAGGCAAGGGCAGCATTCCTACAATTAAAGTACATGTGGAACTCTTAACAACTGTCTGTCAACCAACACGAAATTCAAACTATCCAATATGAAAGTGAAGACAATTCTACTGTACGGAGCTCAGACTTGGAGAATTACTACTAACATCATTAAAAACGTTCAAGTATTTATAAACAGTTCTATACGTAAGAAACTGAATGTCCGTTGACCGGATACCATTAGCAACAACCTACTCTGGGAGAAAACAAACCAGCTTCCAGCTGATGTAGAAATTAGGAAGAGACGTTGGTGGTGGATAGGATGTACGTCGAGGAAATCACCAAACCACATCACGAGGCAGACGCTAACTTGTAATACTCAAGGGAAACAGAAAAGATGAAGGCCGAATAACACACTACGTCGGGAAATGGAAGCAGACATGAATAGGATGAATGGCGACTGAAAATACTGGAAAGGATTGCCCAGGACAGAGTTTGATGGAGAGTGCTGATGGACAGCTTATGCTACTCTTTCAGGGATAATAGGGCGTAAGTAAGTATATATTCGTGTAAGTATAAATGCCCAATTATGTTAACCTGATTACATCTATAGGACGACATTTATGGAGACGTTGAGAAGCGCAGTATAAGGAATATGTGAGTAATAACAAGTTGTAAGGAGAAACTACACGATACTTGTTAATGAAATGTTTGAAGATGTAGTTTTTGTCTGATTAACAGATAGATGGGATAATACGGTACATTGGTTGTATTGAAAAAAAAACTCTTCAAGGATGTCATTAATCAGAGAAGCATAAACAATTCTGTCTTATCAGTCATACTTCTTAAACAATTGTGTCTCCTAACTAGTGTTTTACGTGTTATTAGCAATTTTATATAAGCATCTGTAATAAATAATGTGTTTCCTTGTATGGGATGTTCTCAGTTTGTTTTGGAATGTCATCAAAATATTTAATAAAAATTATGTTGACTTAGCCAGCAGTTGAATTTTAAATTCGCAAATCCTCATATCTTAAATATGAAATGGGATTAAATCCTCAACATGTTTTATGTAGACCAGTTTATTGCCGTTCTAACTGCTTTGTAATCAATAAGTTCTTAGTGCGAATTCATTGATGTGGCATTTTGAATTGTCCTTCTCAATATGTTAATTCTTGTGTAAGACATAAAAAAAATCTAACTATCCTGCTGGAATAGGTTGATGTCAGTGATTTAAAGCTTCTATAATAAAAAAATTGTTATATCCCGTTAGCGGAAATTTTATAACTGACTTATTTTACTTTCCTTTGTTTTTATAATACAAAATGCTTTATCATAGTCTTATATAAACAGACGATATGATTTTCGCAACACTCAATACATACATACGTACATACATACTGAACTTGTTATTCTATATTGTCTTTTATTATTTTTTTCTTGACCATTTGTAAAACAAACAGACTGTTTCGTGTCAAATAGTAAAGGATTTTTTGCGAATTTTTTATTTGAAACATTTATTGCCCAATAAGTTGTTTGTTGTTTTATGATAAAAGAAAAGAAATGACGTGAAACACAACATCTACATGCCTAAAAATCTGATTAGAAAAACTTTCTGAATACTTCATTTGTTCGTATATCCAAGTCAACATGATAAAACGTCTTTTTTTTATTAGATATTGTTGGAATTTTTAAGGATAATAAAAGTTGAAATAATGCAGTAGCATATGATGCCTATTTATCACTTTGTCTAATTCTGTATTGTAAGATATTTTAGGAAGAAAGTTAATTATTGATGTATTTCGTGACAATTTTTGGTAAACCATATAATAACTCCTGAACAATTCATTTTAATAATCTAGTTTCGATATATATTTACTATATCCCGCGTACGAGATCGTAGTTGTGCACTGTTGAGGGATCCCATACACTAGGAAAAAACTACCTTCCAATGCTTCCAACTTCTCAGTGGTGGTCTAATGTTTATTCCATTCATGGTGTATCAATCTAAACTCAACAATCACCATAACCCTATACTAAAAAAATCTTATTTATTGATAAAAATTGTATTGTTAAAGCTATTTAAGAGCTTATTCATTATGACCAATAAATGAATAGTCGATTTAACCAATGAAAAACTACTCAGTCTGCTCATCTACTTAAATTCTAAATATAAAATTTTATTGTGACTTAATTTTAATAACACAGTATGGTAAGTCGTTGGTATGATTTAGAAAAACAGTTATATGAAACTTTGAATAATACAAACACTGAATTGTAAAAAGAAAGTTTATTTTGTATAGTTGACCAGAACTTAATTCCTCTGAACAAGGTATCAGTTGATTATGTAGGTATAAATTGATAGAGATTACTTATTCATGTTACATACTTACTATTAAGCAGGGAAATGCGTCACTGACGGTAACATCGATCAATAGAATTATTAGAAAGGAAAAATAATACAATCAATGAAAGTACTTTTGAAATAGTGATCTGACAATTATTTTGGATCCTCTCTGTGTAATGTATAGTTGAAATTCTATCAGTCAATCTAATAAGCTTCTGAAAATTATTCTGACATGACTTCAAATAATTTTTGTAGTGAAAATGATATTTTTTCATAAATATTCAAGTGTTTTGGTTTCATTATTATAATCGAAATGAAGCAACAAAATGATTTGTCATTACTTTGATCTGACATGATGTCCAACTTGGCTAAGATAATTTGTAACTTATACTCAGTATTCATACTTTTATCAGTCAACATATTACCTTAAATGTAAGGAGAAAGAGATAAGTTTTCAATTCCAGTACTATATTGATTGAGAATTAAGAAAATCATACTATAACCGCTACTTTCTCATCAAAGTATACTTTATTCCGTTTTGCTCTACTTTTTGTGATTAACACATTCATATTTGCATTGAATTTGATGAATAAATAAACTTAATGTAGAAAATTCGTTTATCTCTTCTAATTACATTTATGCAATCAGTTTCTTATATTTTAGAAAACAATCTGAACAATACGAAATATTTCGGGATAAGTTTAGTCATTCTGCAGTTAAACTCATTTTGTTCATCATCCAAACAAGAACATTGATAGTTTCACAGTATATATTCTTTCCTTTGTCATGGATGACAAAAGGCCTGATACAGGTCGTGTTAACGCGAAATGTAAATATATCATGCTTCTTATGATTATGACAGTCACATTATACCTATCAATTGAACTATGTCTTTTCACATCGGATCAATATGTGTTTTACAAGTAAATTAAAATCATATTTTTCCCGACAATTTTTCATATTTCACTTATTGCCTTTGTTTCATATACATTCATCGATCCAGATTAACTTGAATAACATACTATAAGACTTAGAGATTAATTCATGTTGACGAATCGTTTTTTATCTAAAATTAGCTGGTAATAAGCTTCTGAATTATTTTAGCTCTGTTCAATATGTTTGGATTCAATTCCTTGTTAGGTGATTCTCACAGATATGACTAAATATAAACTATGCACCCTCATTCGTTTTTCACTCCTCTTCCAAGTTGTATGAACTCAGGCTTCAAACCCTATTCAATGTAATACATGTCTGGTTTTCATATGATTAGTAAATTTATGAATAAATTCCAGACATTAAGTTTTCATCATAAAACCAAATTCCACCGTTTAATCAAATCAGTGCTGAATGACCAGAAATTATTAGGAATTTTGAACCACTTGGCCGACAAAATGGAACAAAAAAGCACAGCTGTTTAGGGTAAACATGTAATTTAGAGAAGGATAACTTAATTTAGATATAGAATCGATAAAAACAACATTAATTATGGAATGACATAGAAAATAATAAATTATTAAAATTAATGGCTGAAAGTGAACTAGATCAGTAAGAATATCATATTCTCATTAGATGTATAGGTGATATCTATAATAGGCTAACAGTGAATACTTCATCGAAAAGGTACGTGTTACAGAAATAAATAACGCATATGAACTAATAATATCGTTAATTTTCCACTTTTTAAATATCATCCATACGAATGTATTGTGAAATTCATTATATATATGTCAAGAAAGTTGGTAAACATTTGGCTTATTTGATTACAAGTTCATTTTTCAGTATTTTAATGCTCTAAGCTATAAAATATGGATACGATCTATCTTAAATACTTTGAAAGAGGACAGTTGCATACACTTTACAGAGTATCACAACAGCTTGATTAAAAAGTAATCTAATACATTCTTGAACAATTGATTACTTTTTAATGGTAGACTAAGGATCATGATATGTGAATTCTTCACACATATTTGTATAATGAAATTAGCAAATGAATATGATGTATGAAAAAGATAAACTGGAAGCTGAAAAAACCAACCTATATTTTAATTACAATATGGTTTTGCTTTTATCCACTGTTATAATAATCAGTAAATTAACTTGAATAAATGATAGATCGTTTAATGTTCGAATTATGGATGGTTTCATTCACTTAGTATTATTTTTTTGTATCTACTCATTATTGTTAAGGAGCGAAATTGATCAGTCTCTTGTTGGAATATATGCATCCTGTGTGGACTGCCTCGATATTGTCTTAAGTCACAAGCTTTACAAGCAAAGACGGATAGTGGCTAGTAGTGGAATCCAGGATGCGTATTTCACCTTATTTAGGACTTCTCAGCTTGATGTATCTGCATCCCAGATTGAACATCAACTTTTGGATGTAAGTACATTCAGCTGACGAATCCCAAATAGGAAGAAACGTACATCCTATATTCCACTGCTAGCCACTATTCATCGCTTCTAATATGAATAGTTTCATTTATTTTGGAATATTTAGGATAATGACTACTTTACAAGTTTTCAATAGAAATATATCCATACTATCAAAGATATTAAACTACTTAATACTATCAATTAACTTGTAATTTGTTCTAATTGAAGTGCTGTGACGGAACAAGGCCTACCATATTTAACACGTCAAGAAAGACATAAATATGCAAATCTGTAAGTCAATCAATTAATAAGTTTTTTTTGTTGAAAATGTTTTTCTTTTTAAAAACAAATGAAAATTTCCAGTGAATATTTTTAGTGAACATTAACCACTTGACTGATTTTACTTAACAGAATCACATTTGTAAACAGTAGGAATACTATAGATTTAACTTGATGAATCGAAAGAAAATGGTATGGATTAATTTGCATCAATTTATTTATTACGTATCAGTTAAGGTATTTCATCTCTTGAGAGTCAAAACTCAATTTTGGATTTCGTTCTATAGAAAAGTAACCTTAATTATTTCACTCTGTTGATCAGTCAATAAATATATATATATATACGATGAAGGTTTTAGAAGCCTTTAAGGAGCCGAAGAGTTTCGATCCAATGAGAAAGTGATGAATCGTTCTTGACTATCAACGTAGCATGTTACTATTGGAGAGTAGTATAAATTGCCACTTTGCGGATTGGCTTAATTATGATGTTGATATAACAAACGCCAATATCTATAAGTAACCATGTTTTTCTGTATATTTTGATTCTTACCCAACAAACACTATTCTTTCTTCTGTCTTCTGATTTACGATTGTGAGATTCTATACGTTCAAGCCCCGTAGTTGTATACCGTAATCTGCTTTAATAAAGTAGCGGATATAACACTTGAATCTCTTTTTTTACATAAACGTAGGTAGTTACATCATTCAATGACCCAGACTTCCAATATAAAGTGAAAAAAATAGTCAAATACACAAGTTTCAAGTTCATTTTCCGTATGACTATTATCAGTAAATGTCTGTTTTATTTACAAGTTGATAGGAAATTCACAGTGAGATTTCTCTAATGAAAAATTTCCCAAATAAGCATTTCTTTGTATTCACATGTTCAAATAGAGACTTTGCTGTTTATGATTCAGAATCAATAGGAAGTTGATGAACGGAAATTATAGGACCGATTGTGGTGAAATTCGCCTTCTTGCATGAAATAATCACTAGATCCATTCTATACATTATATCAAACTACTCTGTGTATTATGCAGTCTATATCATATCATTAAACACATACCAAACAATTATTCACTAGATGTGAAACCTTTTTATTCATATTGGATTGACAAAGTCCGGTGTGCCATGTAGCCCATATATTAAAATCTCTTATTTTAGTAAATCAATAAAAATCAATATACTGTTTTTTTCATTACCTGAGAAAATGATACAGTAGATTACTCTGTACGTAAGGGTAATAAAAAGGTATTCACTCTAAACATACCAATCAATATCCAACTCTAGTTAAAAGTGATCATCCAGTTTATCCTTTCTAAAATGATTGCGTAATCCAGGAATTAATATTCTAGAACAAGCTACCTTTTTCATACATGAGACCTTATGAATTACTCGAACTCATACAATTATAAAAGCTTTGGGTTCATTTTTAATCATGCTCGAACCTACTTTGTTCGCTACAAGTATACACTGGATCCATCACGGGAAACATAGTTTTCTGGCTATTAAACTAACACGTTTACGTATGTATATCTGAAATGTGCCCGCTATTAAATAACAAAATTAAATGCATACTCTTAGACGATAAATAATTTTCAATATTCTTAAAGAATGAGCTGAATAACTATGTTTTTTAAATGAATACTATCATTTCATCAAGCAACTGGTTCATAATCTTTTTTTTTCTATGTCAGATCAGTTGATGATAAAATAAAACTAAGAGCTGCACAAAAGAAAGCTGCTACACTAGAGTCTACTACAAATGCAGTCAGAATAACATTAGGCTTAATTTCAATGTTAATAATTGGCTATATATCAGATAGACATGGTCGTCGTGTTGCTATAGGTATTCTACTCTTTGGAGAATTTTTACATATAACAACAGTGTGTAAGTCATTAATTTGTTTTTGATTTCTACTGATCATAATGTTTGATTTAATTATTTGACAGACTGATGATTAGGATCTTCTAAATGTATTGTTAACTTACATTAGATATTAATAATCGATGCTTTTTAGTGGCACATCGTTTTTTACATGGTAATATTTCTACAAATATTTGATATGATCATTTATAGTTGAATTCATCAGTTGATGCAAACTAGACCACCATTGAAAATTTGAAAGCACTAGACGGCTATTTCGTCTCAGTATGAGACTCATGAATTTAACTATTAAAACCACTACAATCTACAAAATTCTCCATTCTACTGATCATTTATCACTGAACTATATGAACATACTGTTATGTAAATGTAAATGTTCTCCGGAATAAATTTTAAATTGAAATTTGATAATATACTGTCCTTACAAAACGTTTTCAACTGAACAAGTTAGTTTATCAAATAGTCAACGTCCTATCGTGATAGTAAGGATATTTGTTTTTTAAGTAAATGACTTACACTAGAAGAACAGGGAATTATCTTAATGTGATATGAATGAATGTAGAAGGGACTCTGTGGTCACACAATATGCATATGGAAGAGAGAATGAAAAGTGGAATCATAAGAAATGTTACGAGTTTAACTGTGTTTATTCTGAAAATATTTTTTCTCTTCTGCCTTCTTAAGCTATTGAAGCTAAATAATTCAGCAGTATCTAGTGATATTTAGTCAAAGATGAATATATTTTTATATGATGAGATTCTTCTGTCTCAAAACATTCTCATAAATAAAAATAATGTATTTATTCTATCTCTGTCCACTTCACCACTTGTCATCATGAGAAATACTGATGTGTTTCATTGGTATTTGAATTTTAACACATGAAGGGATAATTCATATTCTTAGTCCACACTCCAATCCACTAAGGTACCTTTATATCTAACTATTATTTCACTGTATTTATACATTACTGGTGTTGGGAATATTATTTGACGATTATCAATATTTTATCCCCTATCCCGTTCAATAAAAACATCTGGAGATTTCCGAATTACATACAATCGATGTCTTTTTCAGTTACTTTTATACAGCATAGGAAATTAGTTTATGTTGTCAGAGGCCTGTTTCTAGGTACAACTATATTTTTATACGCTCTATGGTTATTACCTTTCCCAAGACTGGGTAAAGGAGGATTAGCAACCCAGTCTCGTAAAAACGAACCTCACTACAAAAACGCTTAGCAAAAAAATTATTTAAACTAATTGAACTCTGTAAAGGGAGTTAACTGAGCTTCATCTTGAAAAGTTATGGCGGTTCACGAGGAAAGCCTAGATTCTTAGGGAGCCATTTTACTCGATGCGCCTTTTGACAACTGTATCAACGACTAATACAGATATATAGAATTTCATGACAGTGTTGGAGAGTGGAAGAGTAGTTTAAATAGCAGTGAATACGTGAAACACAATGTATACAATCTGTATAAAAAGGTTAAATTCAGGAGAGCTGTTATTATATTCCGGTCACGAAGAAGAAAATGTCCTACACACAACGAATCGCACAAATATTTTATAAAGAAACACAAAATCTTTTCATAGGATCAGAAACGCAGGGCTTCCGGATCGTAAAAACAACATTTGGAGCGAAAAAGGCAAGGATTTCTATGAATGTAACAATGATAAAGCATCACCAGCGATGGCACAGAAGATGATAAGGATCAGATAAGTGAGGAGCAGTACCAACCTAGAGATGTGCTTAGGGAAAGACGTAATCATTCTAATAAGGAACTTGAACGTAATACTCGGTATGGGCGACACCCGTTGTAAAGATACGATGAGTCTGACATCCACTGAAAGAAAGAAGAATGGCAAAAGAATGACAGATCGGTGCGCGTTTAACAACATTGATACAAGTGTTAGCATTTTTCACCAAAAATTCATTCACAAGGCACATGGATTTCATCAAAACACACTACGGAAAACCAGATTGATCACATCCGCATCAACGAAAAAGTCGTATGTTATATGTAAGATGTATAAATAGAGGGAGGATCCGTCATAACTTCAGATCACTACCTCGTGTTGGCCAAGCTGAATTTCAAGCTAAAGAATGGCTGGAAAACCAGAAATTTAAATGCTCAGCACATACTCTCTTTTGAGTAGTAACAAGCTTAGTGAGTTCACGATAGCTATCAGCATTAATCTCCAAGTCTTATACGATACAGTAGGACATGAAGAATCCTTTATGAATAGAAAATGGAAAGAGTTAAACAACCGATAACTTCAGTATGGCAGGAGCTGATGTGTTTCAAAAAACAGCATAAATAATGGATCTCCATAGACGGCCTGATCAATAAACAAGAAGACAGCAGTCAACAACACCCAAACAGGAGCCAAAAAAATAAAGCCACAGGCCAAATATACAGAAGCCTTACAGTCGGACGTTAGAACAGATAAACGCAAATACGCAAAAGGCCTGGCAACCATAGCAGAACAAGCTGCAAGCCAATAAATTATAAGGCAACCAAAGAGAATCAGGATTTAGCAAGGGGGATATGGTGTAATAGAGCGATCAGTCATAAACGAATAAGGCAGACGATGAAGTTCAGGAGAAGCAAAGCCGATGGGTAGAGCACTTTGAAGAGCTCTTGAGTGGATCTGCACGGTTGAATCCAATGGCCATCGGGGCACCATGCACAAAACTTTCAACAGGTGGAACCCTACCAAAAATAAAATAGATAATCAATGTTATAAGAAAAATCAGGAATGGCTAACCGTAAAATTGGTCACCATACCTACTGAAACATTGAAGTCGGATATGGAGGCAACTTCAAAAGTTCTTCCACGTTCTGTTCAAAAATATTTAAGAGCTAAAACAAGGCAAAATCAAAGAGAGATTGCCCATCAAGATATCAAAGAAAAACGCTTTTAATAGATGCGTAAACCACATAAGAATCACACTGGTGTCTACCAATGGAAGTTTAAAGTAGAGTCTTGCTAAAAGTAATAAAAGATTCAATATACACTTAACTTTACGATCAACGAGCTGGCTTTCATACAGATAGATCATATTTTATCCGAATTGCAATACAGATTACCATCGTTTAACATTAAATCGAATGAAACTCATCGCCATGTATCAACCTTTTTTATAATAAGAAAACATTTGACAGAGTGAACAGGAAGATCTTGTGAACTCTTAGTCAACACGAACGCCTATGAGAGAATGAATTACAAAGTCATACATTTTCAGCAACTCGGTGATGCATTCCAAGTGAAGATTAGTATCAGAAAAGACTGACTACTCTGATTTTTCTCTTTCTGTCAACTGTTTTCTGGATTATGAGACCTTCACATCTCACGAAAATCACGACACACAGTGGAAAACTTGGATGCAATTGGATAATTTGCACTTGCAGATAAATTGTCCCTCACACAATGAGGCAACTATTAGACTATATTACAAGACAAATACTAACTTGGAAACTGAGTATACCAATGCACATATGGAACGGAGAATTGGAGGTAGACATAAGGTCAATATGAACCACTTTGAAGCAAATGGAAAGAAGAGTTCAAGACACAATTGACTAGATATCCTTGGTAGACCTGTCAACAAAACGATCGATTTTCAACCTTCCAAATCAAATATGAAGGTTTATTTGGCAATGTAAAAATCGTATTTTGAAGTATCACCAATTTTTAACAGTACACTGATTGACATTTTTGCTAAACTGTTAATCATAGCACCTTGCTAAATTCTTTGAGACATTTCATAATGTGTTGTTCTATTAATTCCATTTATATCACCACCTTTAATTTACAATTATACATGTATCCAATAGCTGGTGTTAGTAATTAAAATTACCAAATAATTAAACTTTTTATGTTTCATTTACTACAATATCAGCATGTAATTCAATTTATTTGATTTTATATTTTCCGAATTAAAGCTTTAATAGTAACATTTAATTTGAATGTATGGATATTACTCCTTGCTGGTTTTTTTGAGGCTTTCTTCGGTGGTGGTCTTTTATCAATTTATGCTCAAGTAGCAGCAATTGTGGTTGATATAATACGAATTTCACACGCTAAAAAAGATCTGACTGTTACAGCAGAAAAGATTAGCCATGATACATGGATTTGGTTTACTGTGTTTGAATCTATAGCTTTACTATGTTCATCAAGTGGCAGCCCGATCGGAGGTTTGTATACTCAATTTATTAATATGTCATAAAATGTTTAATTTCTTTGTTTATTTAACACTTCAAATCTTGATAGTCTAGAGTCTGTTGAATATATACGTTTCCTTAAAAAAAACAATGGAAAGAAAACTGCTATAGACATCAATATTCTAACACCATTCATTAGATATGAATAGTATTTTAATGAGTTGTAACGATAAAAAAATAAAACGCTTAAATCAAAAATGGCATTAGCTTAACAGCAAACAGAATGCTCGTTTATTTCTTAATTTACTATTACATATAACACAGTTAATTTCAAATCTGGCGTAGGAATTTGCAAAGATAAATTATGCAAGTATGACTATAGTTCTTTTCAGAAAAAGGAACATGTTTTTGGTGATGGTTACTAATTGAAACCAAAATGGGGAATGAATGTATATGTAAGTCAATAGTCATAAGCCATCGTGATACAAAACTCAACAAATAAATCAATGAATTCATTTGGTATTGTTTACTTGTATCTTCGCATTGTTTATTAGGACTGCAATTGGTCAGTCTCTTATGTGCATGCTGTGCGGACTGTCTCGATGTTTACTTTAATCACAAGCTTTATAAACAAGGATGCATAAACAGGTGGCTATCAGGACTCAGTAGCCAGATGAATAACGGGATGGTGTTGAGACTAAGGGTATTAGTTTCAAGTCCTGAATTGAAAATCAACTCTATGCTGCAGGTACACCTTGCTGACGAGGTTCAAATAAGACGAAACGCGAGTCTTGCATTACACTGCTAGCCACTATCCATCTTTGTAAATAAATCAATGTTTTCGAAAATTCCCGTATTTATTTTTATCACTGACGAATTAAAATTTTTATTCTCTTCATTGGTGCGATATATAAATTTACATTTATTATTAGGAACATTAATCTATCAATTTGGTTTCAACGCTGTGATTATCACAGGTGCAAGTTTATTTGTACCAAGTTTAATAATTTTATGCATTTTCCCGGAAACCAATAATACATATGGATCACCTATTAATGTTGAAGATAATAAAGACAATGATTTTAATGAAGCTCATACAATTGAAATTCAACCTGAATGGAAAGAGAAATTCATTATGCGAATAAAAGTTAGTTCATTTATTCTGATCAATATTATTGATAATTAGAAATAATAAAAAAAAGTATTTCAATAATTTTATTAAATAATAAAATTTTAAACGACATGACAACAACATAAATCAATTTTAATAAATAAAATTGAAATAACACTCTAAATTTTATCTACAGTCTAAATGACGTCATACAAATTTTTTTTATTTTATATGATAAATATGACAATTTCAACTTGAATAGAACATTTTTTATTACAGTCAATATGTTAGATAACAATAAGTGTAATTAGTTACATATCAACATTATATTCTAACGTCTACTTCATTAATAAATGATACTATTTACCTAAAAACAAATTGTTTCTAAATGTATATGACTAATAGATAGTTTAATACTTAACGACATAATACATATTTAAGTATGCCTATTATAGCAAATATAATGAAATCTAATTATAAAAAGTTATTTATTCTCTAAATGGATTAGTGTTGAAGTGTACTTTTATTGAAATTGTTGAACTTTTCTTCCCAGTATAATAACACCTAGAGAATAACTGAACGCATATTTGGAGATAGTTTCCATGTTTCTCAACTAGTGAACTCATTAGTAGCTCCTCATAGCTTTTAGTTTGCATGAAATCTTCTAAAAGTGTGGGTTAATAAAAATATTTCTGCACTAGGTAGTGTGGTTCAAGTTAATTACCCATTCTAGTAACATTCTAATGCATATATACACATATTCTCCAATGGGAAGTCGCAATGTCCTTACAAAGCTCCTCTTCATTCGAAGAGTCATAGGACTTCCTCAATTTGTTGGGTGGGTGACTGAAATATAATTTTGTAGGACTATTTTTCTATAGCTTGTAACTGATGCATGTTTTCAGATGTAATTGCTTTTTGTTTGTTTAATTAATAAATAGAGAAGAAAACAGACCAACAGCTTCAGTGTTCACGCTGAATTTCTCTTGCATCTGATACTACTATCCGTTGTAAGCATCTACTTTATATATATAGTAGAACTCATTGGCATTGGTTCAAGTTAGACATTAACACCGTTGGATGTTGGTTCAGTGGTCTAGAGTTAAAGCAATCACGCCCAAGACTAAAGGTATTGGATTCTAGTCCGGTGTGAGGGTTCGCGAGTGCGCACTGTTGACAAGTCCCCTACTAGGACAAGACGGCCGTTCAGTGCTTCCCAAGTTTTCAATGATGGTCTAACATTGATCAGTCCATGATTCCAATTTAAAAAGGGTTAGTTTGTTTTCTTAAACAACGGAAAACTAATCAACCGAGATGTTTAGACAGTCCGTCACACTATGCAAATGAAATCCATGCAACTTAATCGATTTTGATTTGTTTATTCATCCTATACCTGGTAGATTTTCTGAAGGTATTGCATATACATATATCAAAAACTAATTAGAAACGCAGTTTTGGTAGAAATGAAATGAAAATTAAACTTTATTAATCAGTTGACTGATACAGAAAAATGGATATATTTTTGGCGAGTAGATCTGATTAGCAAATTAAATAACAGTTATAAATTGCAATAAAAATATAAACTATACTTTTAGTCTACTTCTCATTTATTTCTTTTCCCATCAATCTTCAACAAATACTGTACTATAGAGTGTAGGACATTTGGATCCAATCTTAATTGTAATAATAATAATTATCGTACTCCTAGCGATTGGTGCTATGGCAGATCTTCATTACATTGTTATCTATCTCATGGGTTCACCATTCTTGTGGAATCCTCAACAAGTAGGAATATATATGTAAGTAGGTTTGTAATATTTTTCCTAGTAAAATACAGAAACCATTTAGTGCAACTAATAAATCTGAAAATATCATACTGAAATGCCATTTAAAAATAGAAATTTGTGAATCACTTCTTCTACAGTCTCTTACGCTTCTCCTTTTTCTAATAGTCTTTCAGTTGAAGATGGTATGAAGGAGACCTGGCACGATTGATATTGTTGCTCTGCAGAATTTACCGAACCGGGCCGAAGTGGACTGTGTTCTATTATCTGAAATAATAGCATTTGATGGTCCGAAACGGTTGAACACTTCTGTAATTTTTTCATCGTGGCAGTGGTAAACACACTGGTCACTACGAAGACTTCCGGGCATTTTGAAAATGCATCGACGATAACCAGGAATTCTTTTCTCTGAGATAGTTCAGCTAAATATATGTGAGGGCATGACCAAGGTTCTGTAGGTGCTGATCATGCTCGAGGTTCATCTTTAGTGGGTAGTTAAGATGACTTTGCTCAATTGTAGCACCTCGAAATCTAGTAATCTAGCCAAAGTCAGAACAAGTAAGCTAATTGGCTTGATAAACGTTATCTGTTTCTAAAACGTAAATTATCACTTTTATTATACAAAACAAACAATTAATACAGTCTATTAAACAGGGACAAGAGAGAAATAACATTCCGAAAAGTAACTAGAGGATAAGCAAAATGGGTTAACGAACTTAATATCGTTCATGATAAACATAAAATTATAATTGGTGAATAAGCAAAACTTTGTCATATAAGGTCAAAGAAAGTTGACATGGTGGTGGGCGTTTCCTGTCTTCATCAGTGGGTTCCTTTATCGATCACACTATACAATCATGTCAAAGAATGATCGTAACTTGTCAACATTTTATGCTACTGGCATTTGTCTAATCTCGTTGATATTGTCAGTATCGACTCTACGACCGTCTTCGTCGATCACGAACCTCAGATACTTGATGGTTTGTATGAAGAAATTTCACTCATCTTCACGTAAGTGGAGGCCAAATTGTATAAATTTTGACAGGACACTATCAAGTCTGCAAAACATTGGATATGAATAATCTAACAATCCATTATTTAAACCTGTCAAGAAATCAGCACATAAATGTAAGGATCCATCAACCTTTTTAATAACTACTAATTGGACTGCACGCGGTGAAGATTTCACTGGTTTGAGGACATTTAGTTTCGTCGACTGTCCATTTCCTTATCTACTAGAGGTAAGGAGCATATGGAGCTGATCGTCTTTGTTTGAAAACAGGTCGAATTTTCGGCCTCAAATATAAAACTGCTTTCTGCACCGTCCGACACCCCAGGGTTTCACTGAATATTGTACTATACTTTGACTTAAGGCGATTGATAAGAGAGTTTATTGTTATAATAGTGGGTGTCTGAGTTCAGAGTAAAATCTGTGAGCAATTGAGATTCCGTGGCATATCTCATAATGACAGCTGCTACATCTGAATAATCACCAACAAACCTTAATAATGACGATTTATGGGGCAACATTTACTTCATAAAGTTTGAGATCTAAACGAGACAAAAAGCATCAAATATAAAAACCATACGTTCAGTACTTCATTTGCAAATCCTCCATCAATTGTCAGGAGCTTCATCGTTTCTTCATTGCCATAACAATTACGCTCCGTTACCGTTCTCTCCGATTCTATTATCCCAACCTCCTGCCAGGTTCCCAACTTTCGATTGATGTTGTATGCTACTTGTGTCTGTCAACATAAGTAGCGTACACTACAAGTAATATGTGACCCAATATCAATCTGAATTCTGTTAGATACTCTATTTATCAAGATCTCACGACTTTCCTTTTTAACAGACAGATGGACACTGGAAACATCAAAAACGCTATGAACGTTCTTATGTGCGACTGATTTGAATCTCTTTACACCAGAAAGTAAAGTACTAAAACTGCGACAAAACCCGTCTTTGTGACCAAATCGCTGTGATTTGCTACATTTGTTAGTTTTATATGAGCATCTTTTTCCATAATTTCAAACATCACAAAACCAAAAAGCTTCTTTCGACCTTTGCAAATGACCAGCCTTACTGTGAAATTTTTGTTGGTGCTTTGATTTCAGAGTAAATGCATTCACTGCATGTGTATCTCTTCAGTTTTTAACTAGTTTTGTGTCGTGCTTTAACTGTCGAATGCAACGACACTCCGCCATCACATCTTGAAAATTTATAGATGGGTCCTGTTCCATGCGTGCTTAACTACAAGTACATGTTTCAGAATCAGATTATCACTGCAATCCACAGACAAAAACTAAACATTTGAATTGGTTTTGAGTTAATGAATCCAGATTAAAACATTCTCATGCTCGATTCACTTTATCAGTATATGTGAGAAAACCATCAATAGGTTTTGTATATTTTTAAACTGATGTAATGGATGCTGAATAGAGATGACTATTCACTGAAAATATTTCGAAGGATACTGCGTCGTGAAAATAAATATCTCTAGACAATTTCAGTAGTATAAAATTTGTACATTTGATGTCTATTTGTTCTTGACTTCCTGAGAAGAGGACGAACTCTTGTGCCATTGTTTAGAACAGCCAATTCAATTTCGTATAAATCCTTATATCTGTTGTATCAAGTATCAAATGTGATTCCGTTTTCGGGATCATAGATAAGATCGTTAATTGATTTCAATATCATATCCACTTTATTTTTTAAGATGACTAAGCAAATTTGGAAATCAGTATATCCATTAACTTTAAATATGTATTTTAAAAGATAGCTTATGTAGATAAAAATTTTCACATTATTTTTAAATTAACATGTACAATATGGATAGTGGCTAGCAGTGGAATCCAGGGTGCGCATTTCGTCGTATTTGAGACTCGTCAGCTGGATGCACCTGCATCTCAGAGTTTATGTTAATTCTGGGACACGAATCCGGTACCGTTTGCCTCAAACGGCATCGCGTTATACACTTGGCTACTGAGTCCTGATAACCACTTGCTTGTGCAGTGAGGTGAATTAATCCCAGAGAGAGTACCAACATTGTGATGCAGGTACATCCAGCTGACGAGTCCCAAATAGGACGAAACAAGCGTCCTGGATTCCGCTGCTAGCCACCATCCATCTTTGCTTATAAAGCTTGTGAATTAAGGCAATATCGAGGCGATATGCACAGTATACACACATGCCAATAACAGACTGATCAATTGCGGTTTTAAACCTCAATGGGAAGATTCAAGCAAAGCAATACCAAGTGAATTTAACATGTACAATGTTTTGACTTTACCCATACTGAATTCATTGATTTTTAATTTCCAGTGGTCTCAGTGATTTCATATCATCTGTTTTGGGGATTACATATACAATTATTGTTGTTAAAATTCGTGAACGAAAAAGTATGAAACAAAAATTAGAAACAAATGGTAATCATACATCTCAAGAAGAACATAAAAATGATAAATCACGAATAGTATTTTTACGGAATATGAGATTACTGATCTTTACATTGGCAGGTACTTTATTATTAATGATAATAAACAAAATAATGATGGGTATTGCACATCAGTTCACACAACAAACAGCAAGTACTATTGCTTATATGGGTAAGTGGAAAATTTTTATTGTTTTTAAAAAAAAAATTTTCTCAACATAAATTGTAATTAAGAGCATTGATTGAACGTTCTCTCCACTGTATCAGACGTTATGATATCTTCAAATTATTGGTAATATTTAACTAAGACATCATTATATATTTCCAGAGATGATATACAAGGATATTTATAATTAATTGACATTTGAATAGTTTTGGGAAGCTAACTTATAATTATATATTTAGAGTGTATTAATCACTCTACATTTATTGTCAACTTAGATAAACGATATATCATATACGTTCCATGGTAAGAAAGTAAGACATGGTGAGTGTTTTGATGAATATGTTGAAATATGGTCTGTTGTTTTTGATGGGATGGACTCGGATTATCTAGTTTTTAAATATTCCTTAATAAATTGTAGTGCTGATGAGCAAGCACTCGACTAGATTTAAGCCATATTATCAAGGTGAAATTTGCTATCTTCGGAATGGTAGTCGAATAAATTGGACTTCATTTGAAAATAGTAATGCTCTTCAAAAATCATGAGTTCGATTTTCTATAGAGTAATGGAGTCCCAAAAAAGAGACAAAACAGCCGTCCAGTGTTTGCTGATTTTTACAATCAGTTAACTAAAATCAGAGAAAGCAAAGAACTTGATAATTGGTTGCCTACTCTTCAGTTACATAATAGCTAAAATAAATAATTATTTAAAATTATTATCACGTAATGTCGCAAAACGATTGTAGTCATACATGTGGGGCAATTTATGACGTTTAAGTGGTCTAGAAGTCAAGCTCTCACTACGAAACCTGAAAGCAGCGGGCTCTAAGGATGTTAGGATTGTAGACCAGTAGAGTCCCGTATTAGGAACTAACAGCAATACAGATTTTCTTGATCTTCAATGAGAATTAGCCACTTTTTTTTAACAGCTGCTATTCCTCGACTATCAAAAAGTTTCATCTCACCCGTTGCACGCTCAATGTTTGCACTATGCACACCACCAAACAATCAAGGTAAGTTGCAATTAGTATTTTAGTAAAATTATATGAACTGGAAGGCTTTATTCTGTCTTGTATCATACACATTTATAAGATCTGCACAAAACTACCTCGTTACAACAGTTCAAGTTTTGAAAGACAGTACGATATACATTTACTGACTTTCATATATTTCTTCATAAAAGCTGCATAAAAAGGTGATGAATTTTCCTCTCATCCTCTAACAGTCAGTTGTAATAATACAATATTCTATTGCGTATTCTGTTTGACATTTAGTGATCGCATAGATTAAAGGTTTTTATCAATTTAGATACCACATAACTAACACATGGAAGCAGTTTTATTACCAAGAATAATTTACCCGATTATTAATTTAATTATAATAATTTGATATCGTCTTGTACGTAAATTATCGCAATCAATTCAAATATTCACATTGCTCAGTCGACTTTCATTCGCATTCAGCCCGAATTCTAAACAACTTCCGAGATGTGGTTGAATTTTTATTCGAACCAAAACGGAAACTGTACTCACACTACCAATTAGTATTGTTTGATGAGCATGGTTTCACTTGCGAAATGCTATCTTACGTATATGAAACTGTAGATTGTAGTTGCTAAGTTAAGCAGTATCCATCCAGATCATTTAGTGTGAGCATATTTCCTTAAAATTCTTCCACTGTTGATTCACATCATTCAAATTTTATTTTCATAGACGTTTTTCTAAGAGTATAATTCGTACTACAGTTAAACGTTGAAATTAGCAAAGATGCTTTTCACTTTAAATCAATTAATAAGTTAATTTTGACTTCTTAATATGAACAATAAACGTCTGACTGAGACTTGTAGATCGATGCTTAGACTAAATCCGAAAATTGTGATACTAAACATTGAATTTTACTTTTACGCAGGAATGATTCAATCATTTGGAGGATTCGTTGCTCGTATTGGATTCGTCATTAGTTTTATCAGCTTACCAGCTGTATATGCAGTCACTGTTACTATATTTCCTCCGATTGTATTTCTTGTTGTTAGTGGAATCTTGCTTCTAACAATCATAATTGATCTGTGAGTCATTACGATAAACTATAATTTGTATATGTATAGTCAGAAGTAGTAAAAATTTTGTTAGTTTTCCACTTTTTCACTTTTTCGAATGACGTGTACCGCTATCTAAATATTCACTAATGGAAAACCTGTTAATGTCTGACTTCAAGTAATCCACGAAATTTTTATGAATCTCAATTGATTATATTGCTTAATCACTAAAGCTTAATTTTAATTCATCAATGTTGGTTCAGTCGACCTTTCCCATAGAAATGATGTTGTACTAGTGAACTGGCAGTACTACATTCGTCTATCGTAACTATATGACAAAACACTGAAACATTCTGAATAAGTTTCGCATGTACTATTGTTAGACAGATTAGTGTTCATTGGATGACATTTCCTATACGAAATCGTTTACTTTAACCGTATATTTGATAAAGCTAAAAAGCGTTTACAAATACGTGGGCGATAATCACATCATGATTATTAATCTTTAATGAATTTTGATGGTTTGATCACTTGACCTTTGCTACGGAAATAAGGAATTGAGACAAAAAAATTTAAATCAAATTGTGGGTGGCCCTGAAAAGGGCCTTCACTCGTTCTCTTAACATTTCCGAATTTCATGAACAAAGGCGTTGCGATGATTCCATTATAGCGCCGTCCATGGGACAGTGGATTCCATGGACAAGTGGTGATGGGTCGTAAGTATAAAATAAATGAAGCATTGCTTCGCATGGACAAAAAATCCAGGCACTTCCATCAGCAGTTTCATGTGACGGTTGCGCAAGATTGCAAATATCACAAAGTCTGTTGTCATATGCGTTTTCGTCATTGTCGTCGTCTAGTTCAGTGAACTCCTCTGAGTTCATCGAAACAATTTCTTCCTCGTCATTGCTTAACGTTGCATCCATATTGACGTTATTTTGACAGTTGGTAACTTACAAAATACGAAGGAAAGACATTGACTGTTCACGGTAGTCCTTAATGAAAAATTATAATAACACTAATCAAATTACCTCGTTCGTCTACTCGGCTGTGAGGAACCGCTAGGTGTTCTACGACCATTTCTCCAACATACGAATTTAATATACGGCTTCCGATCTCTGTGGAAATGAGAATCCCTCACCACATAATGGCAGTACGAGGCTCTTTCATACGTTCTAATGGCGCTCTTCAACGCTTCAAGAGATTGGAACGCTACGAGATAAAATGTGCTCAAGAATAGGTTATCGGTTTCTGTGACAACGTGAGGAACGACAGAGCTCGTGTTTTGCATGTTACTACCGTCCATAATTGTAAGAAAATGTGCTCCGTCGTCATGTCCTGATATTCTATATCGATTTTAAGAAATAAACGACCAATTATAACGAACTCAAAACTAGTTATTTGATTGGACGAAACAGAATGAAAATTATTGGAAGATGGGGATGAAAAATTTTTTCAAAAGGGATGAAAAAAAGTTTCACTCGAAAAAATACAAAAATGGCCGTGCAGTAAATGTTTGCCGATCCTTTGAATGAAATACATGTGTTTTACTCATTGAAAATCTTTTGCTGAATAATCCCATTGAAAAGGGTTCTTATGAAATTTAAGTTATCACATTCCATCTTAACAAGTGACTAAAAACTGTAGAACATTACTCATTTCAACACATCATATTTGCTTTTCATCTTTTAAAGGTCACTACTACCACTTCTGAAAACAAGCAAAGTTCATCATTAAGAAGATGGAAATATCCAGTTAACGAACTGAAAGCTAACGAATATTTTTTTATCAGAAAATCCATCCGATATAGTTTACCTGAGATTTTACAATCATATCCAGAAATCTTATTTGGACAAATATATAAATATATATTTTTTCGGTGATAAACTGTATTATAAATACTTTCATGAAGCTTCTGCCTTGTTCCTATTTATAAGTACTTCAGCTCTGTTTGATCAAATATATTCTTTACCTTGATGAAAGCGAATTTATACAATTTGGAAACATTTTTTAAAGCATTTCTAGCAATCATAATTGTAACTAACCTGTGATGATTGGCACTCATAATTTTGTTTGTAATAATGATGCAATAGGTCTATAATATTTATGTTCAAATGTAATTATCCTTCAACTCACAAAAAGACCATTTACTAAACTTTATTTAAACCGGGTTGTTTAAAAGTAGATTAGTGTGCTTCTTTTAAAAAAGGTTTTCACTTATAACTTGAAATTTGAATTACTATTTGATTGTAGTGACTTGTGTAACGTCAATTAATATCGCGATAAGTGTCAACATTTTAAGTGACTATCATAAATGACTGTTATGAAATGAATATTTTCCATATTTCTATATTTTAATGGTCAAATAAAATTATTATCAGAATGAGGTTTGTGGAGATTGTAGTAATATTAATAGTTGAATTCATGAGTCGATGTAAGATATAACACCACTTAAAACCTGGAAGCACTGGAGGGCCGTTTTTGCCTAGTATGGGGCTTCCCAACAGTGCTCATCCACGATCCCACATGCGGGATTAGAACCCAAAACCTTCGGTCATATTAACATTTAATAACTGAAAATATGAAAATTATGTCAAACTATTGATTATTGAGGTTAGAATAGACTGTACCTTCAAATAAAGTTCAAGTTAATAAAATACGTAGGTTGTGAAAATCATACCAAACTGATAATGAATCATAACTGGAATAATATATTGTTTAAATCCAACTACATTTTGGCCTCATACTTTTTAATAAACAATAAACTTGTATCCCACACTTTAAGATAAAATTGTACTTCATTCCTGAAAAAGAGAGGAAAAGTTGAGTGGGATAAAAGCACAGAAATAGGATGCTCACATGCCAGTATACGTCCCAGAGTCCGTTTATGTAAAACTTTAAAACTATTATTTGTCTTCCAATTATTCTTGACGCATAAGTGTAGAATAAGTATTCATGCCAGCTTGATGACTTTTGTGACTAGAAAATCTGAATGATACATACGTTTTAGTTCGTTGACACTAATCCCGCTTCATTAACAAAATATTCCCAAGTAGTTGCCCTAAATAGAGGTATACATGTGGACGGTAGTATAAAAGTGATGAACACGCTGGTTGATCAGAGAGGAAACCAGTTCATATGGCACTTATTACACACCGAAATAAATTTCTGAATAGACGGGTAACTTAGATCTGTTCAACTAAGCTTTGGATGCGATTTGTGTGGATTGGTGCTGTATAGTGAGAGAGAGCGTTGAGAAAATTCTAGTTACAGACGGAGAATAGGACAATAAATAGGCCAACGGACAATCGGCATGCAAATAAGGAACATTGCTAGTTTTGTATATTTCGTAGACAGATTAGAAGCTGCGTACTCGGGAGCGGGTTTTCGTCGTTGTATGCTGAATAGATATGGCTGTTAGTGTTGTTAATTACGGTAACAGTTCTTGCAGCAGCCTCCATAACAGTTTCCACCTTGGCATCCACAACATCCACAGCATCTAGGGCATTGAGGACATTCACCAGGACAACAACCACCCTGACTGTCTGGTGCTGGTTCTGCAATCACTGAAAACGAAATAACACAACGTCACAATATGATTCACATGGAATATGACAGAGCAAAACAAAACAATTATATGCCTACACCTCTATTCAGCCCACTTCAACTCTGGTCACTTAACTACATGTTGTTCCACAAATCGACAACACACCGCATTACTATTGATTTCAGTCCTGTTGACTTCGCATCACTCCACTTTGCTTCAGTTGAACACATGACACAACACTGTTGTGTTAAACTGAAGGCTGAATCAGCAAGTGGGATACTTTTGTAATTACTCGCCAGTAAGTGGCAACTTCATGTTATGCGATCGAGTAAGATAAGGCTCACCTGAGTTGCGACATTCGAATGATGCGACCATTACAACAAAGAAGAGCTGACATAAAAACACGGATCAGGCATATATTATTATACACAACAGTATTTCAATATACTATGAAGATTTCTATTGTCGGTTGCTGTCAAATTATTGCTGACTGCATTCATTCGACCACGTTCGTGGATGTTGACGTTCGGAGCAAACACGTGCTCACGTGCTCAACCGAAACAATCCATTTAACTACATATGTAAATATATTTATGTGTATGTAAGTTAATATGCAGGTATGTATGTATGTATGTATGTATGTATGTATGTATGTATGTATGTATGTATGTATGTATGTATGTATGTATGTATGAAAAGACAATAATTTACGCTTCACTTTGTTCCATTGATTGCACGTGGTCCGTATGCCTTTCTGTTCAGATTATTTCGGTAATCACTGACAGGCAGGCTAGTGAGTTAGATGAGATCTAAGATTGCTTATGTGTGCATTTAAGTGGGTGTGTTTAAAATCGTCTCGGGAAATATGATTAGTACTGTGATGAATTTATGACTGGCTTGATTTTGTATACTAGTTATTTTCTATTTTATGTTGTGTTGAGGTCTAATTTGTTTGTATGTAATTCAAGTATGTGTAATATACATGATTCATACTTTAGAAGATGTGCTCTGGATTCAGGTCTGGACAGAAGTACCAATCGGAACTCAAAGATGACTCTAGGCTGCTCTTGCTGGTTTATCCGTCCTTGATTTGGTACGGTACTGAGGTCATGTAAGTCGGTGCTCCAAGTGGTAGAATTAATCACATGATATAATAACCAAGGTCATAAGAACATAGCAGAAATAATTCTACTGCACCGAAATGAAACTTAAATAAAAACCACCACTTTCACTAAAGAAGTACAGGTGATTATAACAACTGTTTATGCAGGATACACCATATCCATTAGTCATAAACCATCGACAGTAACTTACTCTGGAAGAAAACAAGTCAGCTGTCAGTTGAGGAGAAATTCAAAGTAGATACTGGAGGTAAACACGATACACTATGCGAAATTGATCAAACTACATCTCAAGAAAAGCACTAAATTGGATAAAAAATTTGTACCAAAACACACATGGCACCTGGAATTCAAGCCAGACATTTTCGGATATACTTCTACGATTGACCGATCTGTTTAAGTCTAGTCATAATGAGACGATTTATTTGTTTGATATTTCTTGCTTATTATTAAAAATTAGTCATGTGTGGGTCAGTCTAAAATCTTACTGGCATCGGTAATATTATCTGTCACAATTATTATAATTAACAAAATAATGCTATTTTAGAAATATCAGAGTCTAATAGATTGACCACTTGAAAATGTGAACTTGAAAGTCAAGTCAAGTAGATAAGTAATGGAATTCCAGTATTCTGTAACGTCTGATAATTCATAATTAATGGAAGAGTAGATACTTTGTCTACACTTCACTTCTGATTTTCTTCATCTAAATTATTGATCGTGATTGCAGACACATTGTTTATACCTCGCTTCAGCAGAAATTCACACTAATTACTAGGCAAGTAAAATGGATCTTTTGTGTGCTATACATGTTACGTATTTGGCAAAAAAAGCAAGTGCGAGAAGATTTCCATCTGAATGGCAATTTCAGTGCCTTAGCTTTTATTGATACATAGCATGAAATAAAAAATAAGGGTTACGTTGGATTTTCTTCACATGTTCGTTTATGTCTAAAATCCAAAGTTATCGTATTATAAATTATCGCTTACTAATATAGTCTTTGACTATATACCACAGCTGGAAGATTTCATAAGCAGGCGACCACTATCAGCAGTACTTTCAGGACAGAAAAAGTGACTTAATGCACTGAATCTCGAACATCAAAACGCATTTGCCAGAACCCTTGTCCATAAACTACTGTTGGAACAAGCAATATCCTACAAAACGTGGATTCCATTTTCAGATTGCTTACTAGATCCAGGAATTCCATTGTATAGCTGAATCTTCACTTTAGCTACTGCTGTATTTTTCACAATTGCTACTAGATTTAGTTTCATCCAGGTCTATATTGCAGAGAAAATCATTTCTGTTGTTATTAACCTTTTCTATTTGAGATCCTCAGATAGTGTTGTTAGAGTTGTCATAAGGATGATTGACTTGGTTAAATGGATAAAAGAAGGTTATTTTGAAGATAATTACAAAACTTGGACTATCTTATTCAGTGATATTCAAAGAAAAGTTCAATCTTCTCAAACTGACTATGACTGAAGTAGTTTTGCATCAGTTGTTCAAAATTTGCCATTTGATGAAGGATGAATTCAAAGGTTTCCGATTAGATGTTGTACATGTAACATAAGAGATTAAAGCACTAAGCACGCCCATGGAGAACATAGTGTGTTGTATGGACTCGATATAATTATAATCTCCCTTAAAGTTGGTGGATACACAATTACTGATTAGATGGCTCTCGTCATTGAAGGAAAATCCTACTAGTGTCTTTGCCAAAACCCTGTCTTGGACGAAGGTAGGTAAACTGCTAATCAGTTCAAACGGTCATTTCACCCAAAACCCTAATGCTAATATAACTTTTTTCACTATCTCGTATAGTTACAGATCCTTCTTTTTGCACTTTAAGATTATATCAATATCGACTTCATCCGGTGATTGACAGGCTAAAACTAACGTTCAGAAATCACCTACAAACTAAAGTTTATAATATATATTCTAGTGAACTGGAAGTTTTGAGTGTATAAATAAGCGGTACTACATGACAGAAACATCTTAAGCAACTATATTCTTTCTCGTTCTGACTATAGATGTTTCGTTGGTTGTCTCAAATTACTTTTTCA